AAGGATTTCATCAAAACCTGGTAGAAAGATGCGCATCACTTACAGTTTGTTGCATATCCAACTAGGGTGATGCAATCTAGGATTTTCCAAACTCTTTCTTTAACATTGCAAGTTGGGACTTTTTTTTTTTTAACTCCCTCCCTTGATGAATAAAAAGAAATCTGGCATATTAAAGGGAATGATAAGGGTGTTTACAATTAGGAACAGCATGATTAAATCAAGGAAACTGTTGGGCCTTGGTGGAGGTAAGGTATATACTGAGTGCTATTCTAGCTATACATACAGACGGGTGAAAAATTAAAAGCAAAACTGGAAAATCTTTAGATAACATGTTGATCAATAGGATGTGAGGAGTCCTATGCCTCTGCTGTTCTTCTTTAAATTGTCCTGTGGGCCTATAATCAGAAGATTTGCACTACACCGTCAATGACTGACTCTGCAACATTTCAGCCTTTTTCTATTATTCCCACATACTTTTATGACTCCCACTCCAAAAATAGCTGCAAAACCAGGGCTATGTGTGTATTTAGCCAAAAATGGTAACTCACAAGGGCATAGTCTAGTCTAATAAAGTTTAAATATCCAGACTGCTGGAGAGAATTCAAGATTAATTCGGAAACCTGAAACATAATTCCCAAAATGCACAAATGATTTGTTCAAATAGAAATCATTTAAAAAAACAGATATGGTAAACATTTGGTTGAAATCATTAACAGGCTTAATGAGAGAGTGAGTTTTGGAAATCATGTGTCTGCTTTCCCCTTCAAGTCCCATTCCCTTTCTCTTTCATTCCTACTGGGTTAATTGAAGCTGAGTTCAGAAAGGTCAAGTGTATGTTTAGAAACCACAGACTGTGCATAAAGATAGAGGAGGCATTTCCACTTCCCCCCACTATCTGATGAAACAAGACATCTGCGATACCAAAGTCTTGTGCATTTACAGCCAGAGTCGGGGCAGTAGCGATCAAGGGATGGAGCGGTGATACATGCACTCGAGTGTCATCTGTCAATCATGATGTTTCACCACGTTTTTTGTAGCATCACATAACAACAAATTAAAACCTAAAAATCCACTCCCTAAAATGACAGACTTTTCTGTTTCAGGTGCATTATAGTTATACATTTGGCCCGCTGTCTGATATCATGGAGAATGGGGGACATATGATCTATAATGTTGTCAGCCACCAGGAAGTGATCAGGATGCTTTGCTTCACTTTGGAGGAGCTAGCATGCCTTCCTTCTTCATGCGCAGTTAGAGGAAGTTTCCACATGTGTATTGTCTTTCCTCTGTGTGTGTGTGTGTGTTGTCACTTGCCCTGACTGGTTTGCAGCAGATGGTTTTGAGACTTTTTTTTGCAGACCATAATTAGGTTACACAGACCAGCCTTTGAAGCATGTGACTATCTGTGCAACAGCCTATAAACTCAAGGTAAATCAGGAACATACCTCGATGCAAAACACCGTCTGAACCTTCTCCCACAATGCATCATCGACAAAGACTCAAGGCTGCAGGAGAGGGGGGGTTAAAGCCGCCTCTCGTCTTGTCGAAGCCATGCAGCATATTTAAGGAGTGATATCACATCTGCGACACAACATCCTAAAGCATCTCTACCCCTGTCATAAATATTATATGCTCACACATGTTGGCACGCACATATACATCGCTGAGATAACAGACCCCTGCAGCTGTTGCAGGGGGGAGGTGAGTTATGCCCAGCTCCCAGAATGCACTGTGGGAAAGAAGCTGATGGGAGAACAGCAGCGTTGCATCACCACCATCAGTTTCACCTTGGATTCAGGTCAGTTTGAATTCACTTTCATTCTCAGTGTGCTCAGCCAGCTGGACTCTGATGCTGCTCTGTGAGGCCAATGGAAGTCAACAGTAATTTACTACTTAGCGCCATCTTCTGGCCAATCACTGCAAACGTAGAGGGGATTTTGATAAAAATGATTGCACTTAAAAAAAATCTTTTACAGCTTTTACATTATATTATTATATAATAATCATAATATATATTTTATTCTTTTGTTATTGTTCATTTTTTAAATGCATGCCCTCGCACATAGGACAGCTACCAGTGCAGCTCAGAGTAGAACAGAAGCGTAATCAGATGTTCAGTATTATTAATGGTTTCTAAATACTTTCAGATTACAATGATCAATTCTCCTCCTGTTGGCTCTTAAATATAAGAAGAGCTTTTAAAAGTCAGATATTTTTTCAAATATTTTGTATTAATTCGTTTTTTTATATTTCAGCTTTTCCTTGTTGATGTGGATTTATTTTTGTCTTCTAGAATATAATGGCACCTCTTATGATTTTAAGATGATTTTGTTTTTACATGTAGTTCTTGTTAAATCTTTGTGTGTCTTTTTCGTTTCTTAGGACCATGTTGGAAATAAGTGTTATTTCACTTTAAAATGTTTTCCCATGGTTCTCCTCTAAATAAAAACCAATCAATTATGTTTGCTTCTTAAAACTCTAAGAAATAAAAACTTGATATAATAATAATAATAATATTAATAATATAACTAGGATGTTTTGTGATGTTAGATTCCACGTGATGTTTCTAGGGAGTCCCTGTTGCGTCGTTGCTATGGTAACCATAACACTCCCTTCACCCACCCCTTTGCTAACTTTAGCTCGAATCACAGACTTTAGCTCGAATCACAGACTTTAGCTCGAATCACAGACTTTAAGAAGTTGTGTATGAATTATTCACGGCATGTGGGGGCTGTAGCTACATAAGACAAAGTGTTGAAGACGGGTACGGACACTGAAGACACTCAGAAGTAAGACTTTCTATTTTTAGAAACGTGTTTCTCTATGTGGCAAACACTAGCATTTAGCACTTTGAGCTAGCTAGCGTGATAGCTAACTTGTGTGCTTTTGTGCAGGTGTTAATGTAGCATAGGCTAATGTTTGGGCTGTTTAAGCACATATTTCATGCACTTTTATAGGTTTAAATAGTTTTTTTGTGGCAGGAAAACGTCCAACAAGAGCTCTATTATATATGTATATGTGCAATTATTAAAAAGTATAATCAAATATAACAGACAGTTGCAAGCTTTAATTTAAAAAAATGTGATTTATTTATTATCAATATGCCCCCAAAGTTAGTTTGGGTGTGGGATTAACCTTGATTATGAGTTCCTGCTCCACTCCTTCAAAATAAAAGTACCATTTTGTAAAATCTTTAATAATAATAATAATAACAATAGTCCCATTTTAGTTTGTTCTGTTTTGTAATTGAAAACTAACTACAACACTGACGACCAAACACTGAGCTCTAGTCAGTTAAATTTAACCAAACTCTTTAAATTCTAGTAACAAAGCATCTTTACTGTCATTTTACAGCCTGTAGTGGAAGTGTTGTATTGTCAATTTCTGTCTGTTCTCTGTTTTTTGTTAATGAAAATTTCTTTTGTTTATTTAAAAAGAAGCTGTCTCAGGAGACAGGGTTAGGGATAGAGTTAGGGGGTTAAAGCATTTCCCAGGGAGCAATATGTCGCAGATCATATCAGTATCAGTATTACTCTTCTAAATAAGAAATGTAAAACCAGTCTGGAATCCAAGAAAGTCCTGTTTAGAACAGAATGGAGACCTGCTGCACATGGTCTGGGCCGTTTGTCTTCTAAAAAATAGCTTTTACAGAACTCAGGATGAATATTGCAGCTGCAAATATACATTTCATATTGCTTCCACCATGCATCCTGTTTCTTAACTGAATTTCTCTCTCTACCCTCTCTCTCTCATCATATCCCTATGTGCATAAATTGTTGGCTCTAGTGAGTCTATCTGAGCAGCAGGGCAGCAGAGGGGAAGTGGAGATGGGAGGACAAGAGGAGGAGGAAGAGAAGAGAATGGAGGAGGACATCCCTCTATTGGCCCTTGCACCTGATGCTTCGCTCCCAGAGGAGCAGCCCTCTGTCAGTATTGATGTTTCTGCTAGTCCTGCCTTCTATTGCCTGGATGAGGTAAGACCCCTGAATGCTGTTAAAATGATTATGGAGGTTTTAAATGGAACACAAACATCTGATTAGATAGATGCAGCGACGGTATTTAATCTTATTACTTAAATCTAATAAGAAAGTATTATAAATGCTTTCAAAAGATTATGAAGTGTGTTGGAGAGCTTATGCATCTTTCTTACAAACTAACCATGCTTGTGTATGCCTCAGAATTTTGACCAAAAAAAACTACTGTACATGGACTCACATATTTTATGATGTTCACCTTAAAACTGAAACAGTTTTTGACGTTTAAACAAAAGAGAATACTTAGAATTTGATGTGATTGCGTGGGTTGAGCACAATACTTTTTTATTAACTAGTTCATCACATACAGTGTACAGACATTCAATTAACCGCCCCACATGTGAAGTTAATATGAATTTGTTCTTTTGACCTCATTTATGGTGTGCATGCAGCACCTCATCCCTAGTTACAGGCATCTTTAATTCGTCCTGGATACAAGAAGCCAGACACTCCATTCCTCCTCATGCTAAACTTGTATACATGTTTGTATACGTTTATTGAAAGGTGACTTCAATACAGAAGATGCTTTGAAACTAGGCAATAGGCATCAGTGATATTTAAAACTGCAAATATACACACCCTTGTTGGCGTGACTTTATTCATTTTTTTGATATAAAAAGTGCATTTTTTTTTTGGCATGACAGTTGAATATGAATGATAGAAAAGATCAATATTGTACAAAAACAAAGCTCCAAATACACACGTTATTTACGATGAATGGTCACAACAATGCAATGTCTTTATCACTGCTCGAATGTCAACATTCATTAGACTTTATGACCTATAATATAAAAGCTATCATAACCTCACAAAAGAAAATAAATACTGTACACATCCTTAAACATCTCTTCCTTCCCTACATCCTGTCCCCTTCACAGTGTGTATAAAATTTAATTGAATTAAATGAAGCTATACACCTTTCTAACACTAGGTAGCAGTATTGTACAAGTGGTGAGTCAGGGAGGATTTTTTTAATGCATGAAAACTGGTGAATGGCATCAAGAGATGTGCAGTAGTCCAGTGCACCCAGAGCAATGGGTGGAAAAACAATTACATTTCTTTCCCTCTTGCAGCAGTGTCCTGCTCCGTGGCTGTTGTCGAGCACAATTTACTTAAACATCCATCATGCAGAATGTACTTGGGAATGACCCAAAAGAAATGTATCTCAGGCTACATATTTATACTGGGATGCTTTATATTGTATTGAATGGTGATACATTAGAGAAGTGTCCCAGTGTAATTAAATAAATGGCACAGAAGATATTAACTTCTTCGCTGTTGCCTAAAGAGTCACTTCCTGTTGGGGTTTTTTGCACAGTTTGACTCTGACCCCAGCATGAATAATTTCAGCACCACTCAAAACTGTATCATCAGCTCTCATATAACTCACTCGAGTGGCTGCTGTTAATTATGAAACCATTTGGAGTGGAGAAAAAATGATAGCTCATTAGTTTTTACTATGACGGTGTGCTGCACTGTGTCCGGGCCGGGGCTTTTATAGCTGGGGGAGGCGGCAAAACAGAACCTGGAAATGTCAGAGAAAAAAGGTGAAAAATCTCTCACGGTAACCCTCCGTGTAATATTACAGTCCCTGTAGGAGGCTGCCCTTTACACTGTGTGTTTTTTTTTATTAGTCCATCATCGTTAATAGTCCATCGTCTTTTTATTATTATGATTTTAATCCGGCCTTTTCTTCAAAGCCACACACACACACTCCAGTAGAAAAAAAGTAATGGCACGTTAAACATTTTTTTCACAATAATTTTTCTTAATACTGCATTCAAACTTCTATAGGGTTATAGCGCTTATAGTCTTTTTTTTCAGTGTACAAGTATGCATGTGTAAATGTATGCAAATGCATGAATATGTGCATGTGTATGAGTCTACTTGTTCATCCATTTTCTTTGTCTTTCTTTGTATCCGCCCATCTATCTGTCTGCATGAATACACTCTTTACCTGGTCCTCTTAAGGAACGTAGTTCTTTGGCCGTATCATCATCTTGACGGTTTTGAAGGCCTGCCTGTAGTTGGTGGGGTAGTACTCCGTCGACATGTTGTGCCATGTCCCCCAGAAGATCCCGTTCCTCACCCCTTTGTACCGCTTGTGGTAGTACTTCCCGTTGAGGTTGGCGGACATGCAGGCGTCGAACCACCAGCCAGAGCTGTAGTAGGCGCCGCAGTTTCCGGAGGGGTACATGTCGTTGTCACGGTCAGGCGTGGAGAAGAACTTCTGGTCGTGGTTGAAGTGCTTGTTGAAGCTGATGGCGTTTCCAGCAGTCCCACTAAAACGACAAGTTGATTTATTAGATGTTGTCATCCTTTTAAATATTAAATCAAACAAGCGTGCACAAATCAAATATTATACCTGTATCCACTGATAGACAGCCTGTAGCGAAGGAACTCATTGGAAACGTAGAACTGGTCGTACTTTGCATACTCCCGCACACCCTCAAAGTCTTCCAGCTCGATACGCAGGATCATATCTTTGGCCTTAGTCAGCAAGTGCATGTGGTCATTGCCCAACCAGAACTCACCTCTGCAGGAGAGTAGAAGGTTGAGGGAGGAAGGGAAACAAAATAGAGGATAGGTTTTAAACAAAGTCTTTTGTATACACTTAATTAGAAGCTCGGTAGAGTAACTCAAACTGAGGCTGCACGATTACTCATAATAAAAAAGTCATTTCAATTCCCACCTTTATGCAATCTTATTTCTAATTGACAACAATTTTAGTTCAGCTGCATCAAAACAACAACTTCTACCTTTGCCCATAGAACAAAATCCGCCCGTGAGGACATGGTCACACATGCAAAGCGAATGTCATGGATCAAAGTTCACCAAAGTTGAACTCCATACAAAGCAATGCTGCAGCTTTGCCACTGGAAGCAAATGTTTTATTACCTCTGCATGATGCTGAGTTGCAGAAAAAACAGCAGTGGAATAAAGTGAGTGACGGCAGCGAATGAGAGAAAAAGGGAGAAATGTTTATATAAAATAAAAATAAATAGATAAATACAATCAAATGAATCCAGAAGATGAGAAGCTGATAATGGGAGAAACGTGATTCTCATATTTTCCCCAATCATGCAGCTTTAACTCAAACTGAATTGGACCTTAATGGAGAGGAAAGGAAGAGAGGCAAGGGGGAGTTGTGTGACGGTGAACAAAGGCTGAGAGGAGAAGATATGCTTTCAGTCGGAGGCGAAACTAGATCTGTAGATGAGGTAACCGTGTTTATCTCCCATACAAAACTCAATACTACAGTAGAAGAGAGGATGGGAGGTGAAATTTGAATCAAGATATAATGGAAGTACTGGATTTAAGCAAAGTTCAGAGTGAAAATACTAGAATTTATGTCCAAATGGAAAGTTTTAACTTTAACCTGTTAAATAACGTAATGTGGTGCACAGGTTTATTGGTTTGTGAAATGGTGGTGATGTGTGTTTGTTTTACTCGTTAGAATCTATCAGTGATAGAGAAAACAGGTGGTGAGCAGTCAGTGATAATGATGACAGGTTTGCATCATTAGGCTGTGAGACTGGGCCCTCTCAAGTTGTGGGAGGAAATGGAGACCTGTTCTGTATTAACTGTGTTTCTGTTAAAGTTGGTGCACTATAGGTGCACGTGGTTGCCATATATATGTTAGAATAGTGAGCTGTGAAAGAGGAATATCATTAATGGTTTGTTTGTGAAATTGGATTCTTTGAAAGGTTTGTATCGGTCCAGCACACCCCCATGGCTGCCTGAGGACATGGTAGCTTCTAGCCAGGAGCAGGTATAAGACCAGTCAGTTGCAGGTAGAAGGTGTTTGACAGTGTGATGTTTGGTGCTCATTGTAGCTTCTAGTCTGACTCAAGGGTTTTAGCAGAGGTTGTCTTATTGTAAATGTCTTAGTATAAAAGTGTTTAATTTTGGCTCAACAAATAAAATGTATCTTTACCCCCATGCTAAACATGAACTTAAAATAATGGATGACATGATGAATCCTTAAAGTGAAGAGTGTGCAATTTGGTGCAGATTTAAATAAAAATGTATTAAATGGTGGTTATATAAGTGGAGTTGCGTCACCCGTCAATATATGTGCTTAAGACCCATTACATCTTTCAGAGAAACCTAAGGATTAAAGTCCAATACCTGAGGTTGCCAAAGCCCTTCTTATACTCGACCCAGGTGCGGTTGAAGCTGACAGACCCATTGAGCCGTTGCTGTATCACAGTCCATCCACCTCCGTAGGACTCCATGTCGCAGTACACCTCAAACGTCCCATTGCGGGGATCAGGGGTTACGTGATACACGCCATTCTTCCTCGTCTCCAGAATGTTGTAGTCTGAACAGTCCCGAGGGGCTAAGATGACTGCTGGGTGGCAGGGAGAGGAAGAGAAAAGAGGAAGAGGAGAGGGGACATTTAATGGGATTTTTCACAGGAGGACATTTGATAATGTTTTCACTTTGCTCTGGCATTTTTCTCTACCCCGTCTAAGAGACTGTAATTGAAACAGACCCTGAGGCTGAGAAAAGCCTGAAAACGGAAAAGGGAATGAGATGTCTTTTTTTGCTCCTAGACTGTTCCCCTTCACTTAACAAAACAATTGCTTGTGTGATTCAAACCAAATTTCAGCATGTTGTGAAGCATAAACGTTTGTATCACTGAATACTATCAGTCTAGTCATTTCAGTTCATTCCTTTGCTTATCAGCATGCTATCCCTCATCCAAGAATCATATTGAAGAGTCCGACATGAAAGAAAATAAGTGAAAGGGCAAGGTGCACTGTAGGAGGATAAGAGTCAGCAAACCTCCCATGTGCTGCACCACAGGTTCATTCACCAACAGCTCCACGACCTTCTGAGACCCCCTCCCACTCCATTTCTTTTTATACCTTCCCCACTTATTCCTCTACCTCTTGCTCCTGTCCCCCTGTGCTGCACCGCAGGCTACTGACCCAACCCAAAACCAAGGTCCAAAAGCTGCTGTCAGTTAGCATTTAGGGAACTGAAAGGAACAGACCTGTCAAAACGTGGGAAAGTGTAAAACTGGATTAGAGAGGCGTACCCCCTCCCTGCACATTCGGCACCTGCGGCCTAAATCATCCTGACACTGGGCAAGCAGCATCTGGACCCCTCCTGAGTATAGCTCTCCCCCATTGCTGATACAGTTTTGTCAAACTGTTAAATCTGTTCAAGGGTTTAGTTGATTATAATAGCATAGGAAGGGAGGCATACATAGTACACAGAGGGCATCAGGTGTCCTGAGGTGTAGGCAGGAGACGTCTAGACTCAAATAGTGTTTGTGAAGTGCAAGGCTAGACGTAAAAAGGTATGCAGTCCATGGTTGCTTCCATTCTATAAGTGTCTCCTGTATTTCACCTGTCAAGTCCCACAAAACACGTCAGGTGCAAAATGGCTGCAGATGGTAAATCACTCCATAAAGAGAGCAGTCTGGGAGTTGAGTGTGAGCTTGAAATGTATCCTTGTCACGTTAACAGCTTTGTCTGCACTTGGCATTCAAAGTATTGACCTGCATATTCTCTGTGTCTCCTTCACTTTGAAGTGTCTTGACTGTGGTTTTTCTACTTCATTTCTCCCTGTCTATCTGACAGGGCGGCCAGTGTCCCTAGACAGGCAAGAGCCATCTCACTCTCTCACTCACTCACTCAGTCCCTCTGGCACTGGGCCTGACCTAAATAACTCTAATATCAGCCACTAACCGATGCCCAAATGACTGTTTGCTGATTGCCTGTTCTCTTCAAAGGAGACATATTATTAACTCTAGTGTTCAATGTAGATTTTAATGTAAAAGTTCTACAAAGTTAAAAAGCTCAAAGTAAGCTCCTGGAATGTCCTGTCTGTAATCTGGCTGATACTTCAGTCAGGAAGAAGAGAAAGATCCTTAGCAGCCACTTCTGAATTGTGACAATAGAGTTGGTTCTACCGACTCGTTAAGAAGAAGTAGATCCAGTAGTGATGTTGGTTGCCACCTTCCAATAAACTGAACTTCCGCATCTTTGTGATGTAATTTCACAGCAATTTCAAAACGTTTTGATTTGGTTTATGGAATGAACGACTTGCTTGCTCAAACTGGTGTGCAACAGGCTTCGAGGTGTGTTTTCTTTCGTTTGGTAGGCGCGCCAGAGGTGGGGCCCAATCAACAAAGACATGCATATGAACCTTGCCGTATTAAAAAGGTAATCCACACAATGGATTCTTAAGGGCCGAACAGATGCGGCAGAGGCTGCTTGGTGTTTGCATCAACTGGAAATGTTAGAAGCAGAGATTGTAACATTAAGCGTATTTTGAAGTATTAAACATGTATTTAAGATTTCTTCCACAAGAATGGCCGTCTCAGCTGCCATAGTAATATTGCTTATGTATCGCAATCAAGCGTTCAACACACCACGATTTAGATTAAAATAACATTTTTGTTAGCTTGAAGATAGAACAGAGGCCAACACTTCCTTCACACACTAGTGGAGTATACAAGCTGGCCAATCGGAGCAGACTGGGAGGGGGACTAATCTAAGCCAAGTGTTACAGAGGCTCTGAAGAGGAGCTGCAGCAGTACAGTAAGAGAATTAGAATTATGAGCCTGAATATGAGCTAATGTCTCCTTTAAAAGCTGACCATTTAGATGACAGACTTACAGAACTGCCTTCACAGCACTAGCTTTATCTTTGCCAACTGAATATGATATTGCTCATTTGACTCTTGACAGAACAATGATTGACACAAAGGAAAGACAACTGCCTTATAAGATAGTGTGCCTTGTGAAAACCAGCACTCATGTGATATCAGCTCTTCTGATGGAAGGAAATGTGTTAGTAAGTGATAGCATAATTTTTTCCCCATAAAAATATTTCAAATCTGATATTGCTGTCACTTTTGATTTAGTGAAACTTTCATCAAAAAACAACAAGCTTCCTCCAGAAAGTTGTGTAAACACATCGCAGGCGGTTCCTGACTATAGGCGTGTGTTCTCATTGTTTATAACTGAGTTAATGTAGCTGACAGTAACACGAATTGCTGTCCATTCACCTCAAGGCCCCAGCAGTCAGGAGTGAGAGTGAAGATTAGTGCTTGCAGCAGAGAGGGTGAAATAAATGCCCACAGCACTGAGAGATAAAAGCTCCTTGACAAACGTATTATCAGTCCTGCTTGATGGTGGAATCGCAATCCCACATTGGCCCGTGTTTTATAAGTTACAAGTTCCTCATCAGCTTTTTTGGGGTGGGTTTAAGCTTGGAATAAAATGGTGTGGATAAGAGGCTAAAAAGTTCAAATTAATTTTTTGAGTGTCCTTGGATGCTCTTTTCTGCACCCACTATGTGTAAATGTTTGGAGTTTAGCATAGCTTAATGAGCTGTACCAGTGTGGCTGCTTTCGAAAATCCCTGCGCATGTGATTGGCTAACATTTGCTTGCCAATGATCCATCACACCACAGCTCCCATCTAGACATAAACACACATCTGTCTCATATGGCATCTAAAAATGTTAAATCAGTTCTTGCCTTTCTTAAAATAAAAACTGAAATTTCATTAATTTGCTTCAACGAATACTTGAGTAAAAATGCATTGTTTATACTCGTACTACACATATCATTAGACTTTGTTTTATTCCCAGCTGTTTCTTGTCAACTTCTGTCCAAATAGTTTCAGACATCATCATGTTCTCCCTAAATTGTTAAAAGAATTTGCCGGCTCTTGAGTTTAACATGACAGATTGATGTACAAAGACAAGTGCTGCTGACCCTGCGCACCATCCGTGACTAATGTTGGGAAAGCTGCCCCCATTACTTCTTGTGTTGTTGGCAAGAGATAATGAGAGTTAGTTGTTTTATGCAGGAATGAGCATTCAAGAGCATGACCTCCAAAGGGAGAGAGGTGGGGGAGACGGAGACGAAAGGTACCGGGAATAGGGGATTAAAGAGAGAGAGAGCCCGTCTCTCTCTCTCGCAAGTTATGGTAAAAGAAGATAAAAAGTAAAATGGCATGTAACAGGAAAAGAAGCAGAAATGGAGAGATGGAGAGCAGATGCAGCTTGGGATAAATGCAAGAAAAAGTGCCATGAAATGAAGGAGAGTCTGAAGGAGAAAGAGGCAAGTTTGGTGGAGGGGAAATCAACCCAGAAGTCCGAAAGCTTGTATTCCCTTCACACCACTGTCCCTGCTAATCTACTTAGAAATAAGCTCACATCTGTTTCCACATAAAAAGCCCCAGTATGGTGTGACATTCACTCATGCAGTATAGGGATATTGTTCAGTTTCTGTCTGAAAAGTGGCCCTCTGCTGCACTTCAGCCATGCTCTCATCCAAATAAGCTTTTACATCAATGTAAAGTGGACTGTCTGCGAAGCTTAGTTTGGGATCTCTTCTGATAGGTTTTTTCCACCATTGACAGATTCCACTCCCTTTTTTAAGTTTAAATTTTAAATCCAACGTTGTACTACTGGAGCCAAGTATCTGTCTCCCTCTCTCTTCCCCCTTTGAGTTTCTCCATATGGAGAAAAGTGAATGTCAAGGCACTTGACTTAATTATATAGGAGGTAATTTGAATTGTCCTTTTGACCCCAGTACCCATATTGCTTGACTCTTGTCCAGCATGACCTCAACCTTAAACTATTTGGTTTTTGTAATGTTTTTGTTATGGCTGAAGTGAGTAGACAGGCTCTGCTGTCATAATGTTGTGGACCTTGGAAACCTCACCCTCACTCAATATTTTTTTTAAGCTGACATGGTTTTACAAATTTCTGAAAAATATGTAGTTGCATTCTTATGGGTAATGGAGAAGGTCATTGTCAACTTGAAAGATTTCATTTCCCAGAAAGACGAAGCTCATAGGGTGAAGGTGACCACCCAGAGTAAGATTGTTTGTCACTGTGTCCCTGGCATGACTGTACACACTCCATAGCAACCCAGACCACTGAATGGTGTATGACGGGGTTTCATTTCCATAACAACATCTGTAGTGCATTTGTGTGAATAGATAAGGAGAGAGAGCAGGTTGCTTGATCATGCTCGGAGAGATTACAGAAAAATGCATGAGAGGAGGAGCGTTGAGGCAACTTGAAATGGCAAAAGATAGAACAGAATAGAAAATAACACAATAGAAAACCCAGAAAAGGGGTGTTCAGAAAGTGAGAATATCTTCGTAAATACCTGCGAAGATGGTATAAACGTTTAAAGGAAAGGGTGGGATGAAATAGAAAAAGTAAACATTATAAAAGAATGCTATGAAAGTGATCTTTTTTGAAAAGCAGGCTTACACTGGGGGCTATTCCGCGCAGCACACTGGGTGGTGCAGGTGGAGCTGAGCTTGTTGACCACTCCGCTGATGTTTTCCACTCGTCTGTCCACCATTGCCTGCACGTTGTCCATGTTGAGCAGGTTGAGCCCCTCCATACGACCCTGCAGGGCTGAGATCTGGCTCCGGGCATTGCGCAGGCTGGTCGACATCCTGTTCAGCTTCACCTGGGAAGGGGCCAGAGCGGAGGGGGGAGCGGGGGGGAGTGGATTATTTCTGTGCACCGAATACAAAGCAGGTGGATTAACCGATGTCACCAGTCTCCTCCACATTGGTTTTATACCAGCCAATTTGAATTTTCAGAACAGTAACAGAAACGAATCCGCGACGGAGTGATGGTTGGCCGTCTGCCAAAAGTGGCTGCGAGAGTCAACAAGCTTACCAGACAAAGCTAAATTTACTGCCATTGGGTCGGTGTCTAAAGCTGATCTCCCACCCCCCCGCTTTCTCTGCCCTGTTGACAGTACCAGGAATTTTCCCTGGTGAACTGTTGCCAGGTAGGACTTCATGGGTCCAGTTTACATTCCAGCTGGCTACATTTGAATGGGCATGTTTAGATGACTTTGTATACAGAGTGAGAACATTTTTTTTCAGTTTGATTAGATCAGTGTCACTGGAATCTCCACAAGGATGACAATGATACTGGCTTACTGGGAATTTACTTGAAATGGAAATGTCAAGAAACTGGTGCAGCCTCACTTTTGCACTTTTTGCAGAGATAATTTTACAGAATGTGTGCTGAATTTTGAAGGATTTTACAGTTAAAACAACACCAAATACAGTTTTCTCCTTGTACTATTTTACAGTTTTCAGAGTATCCTAACTTGAATCAGACTGACACAGCATCCACTTAACTTATATTGACATAAATAATGAGAATGTAACAGTTCTGAAATAATTATTCTGAATATTGCCCTGGTTTCCTCTTTGCACTGAACCAAGAACAGCCTTCATAATCCTGAATTATTCCATGTAAAACTGAGACTCAGCTGCCTCTTACCTGCATCTCCTGCATTGTGCTCTGGCTTGGTGTAATTTTCCAAGAAACAGGACCTTGTCCCAGTCCAGCACCATCCACAGCAGCTCCAGGATCCACCCCATCTTCCCTCGCCTCTTGACTCGACCCACCTATCACCTCCTGTCCCGTCAGGTCCAGTCTCACTTCTTCCCCAGCATCCTTCTGTCCTTGGTCAGCTTGCTGATGTCCGCTGCCCCGTGCTCCGCGGCACTCCTGGCACCCGCTCCTCAGCTTGTTCACCACCTCCTTCAAGCTCTGCAGCTCCTTCATTGTCTTTTCCAGCAGCCTGAACTGCTTGGGCAGCTGGATGGTGAGAGGGGGCAAGGTGAGCTGGTATGGGCATTCCTCGCCCTCCTCTGCCCCGGCTCCAGAGCTCCCGCAGTGGCCCGAGGGTCTCAGCTTCATGGGGCAGGAGGTGGGGGTGCCGGATTCAGATCCCAAAGTGTAAGGTCCTCTCGAGTCCCATCTCTGGTGTGAGTTGACGGGGAAGTCCGCTGCCTGGCTGATGCTCAGGGTGGCCGTGAGCAGGAGACTGGCAGAAACGCAAAGCACAATTGTCCTCATTTTTTCTGCTTGAGATATGTGAAGGAGAAATAAGTGTAAAGTGAAAGTGTCTGCAACTGCCTCTGATATAAACTCCAGCGAGTGCAAGTACGTCTAAAATAGTGTGTTTGTATGTGTGTGTGCAGATTATCTGTAGCGATGGAGTATGTGAATGTGTGTCCAGTATCCTATTGGTTTAAGAGTGTGTGTGTATGTGTGTGTGTGTGTGTATAAGCGCAGCCTGCAGGAGGGAGAGAGAGCGCAGGGGAACTGCTGCTGCCTCAGATAGCTGTGTCATTAATATCAGGACGAGTGAGGGAGGGAGGGAGGGAGGGAGGGAGAGAGGGAGCGAGGGAGAGAGAGTGCTGAGTTTGAGGGGATGGGAGGGGCGGCACTGTTGCGTAATGCAAAACACCATATCAGCAGCATTGTGAAGAAAAACCACAGAGATGAGGGGTAGGAGTGAGGAGGCGAGAGAGGGAGGTAGGTCCTCTGCCTGCAGTCGCTGCATGGTGCGGTCCTGCCTCATGCTCCAGTGAGGTCATTTCCCCGAACAGTGAAATGACTCATTACCCAGGAACTATCCACATTTAGCTGACATTTGGGTCATATTAGTTTTTTAGTGTTTGGGCACAAAAGTTTAAACTATTTGTCTTGACACAACTTCCGATTTGACTCACCCTTACCAGTAAGTGTCTAATAAGATTCAGGTGGATACAGATACTGTGAAATCCACAGTGTCTGTGACAGACTTTGTCACAATGATAGTTACAACCACATAAGATGCTGTCATGAAAGTTAAAAGCCATAAGTATTGAGCACTTATGTTATAGTATAGTAATGACAGCTCGGCACTCTTGTAGTTTTGTAATGTTGACAGAGTATTTGCGTTACAGTGTAGTGATGACGACAGAGTACTCATGGAGTAATAGCTACCCAATTCTTGTGTCATAATGTTCTAGGGTTGAACAGACTATACCGATATGATTATTATTAAAAGCAAGATTACAAAAGTTATTTGAAAAGTTAATCTTTAACTTAAAATATAATAATGTGACATTTAATGTGATAATTATTGATATTGACTGATATGAAAATGTAGTAATGAGAACTGAGTTCTCATGGGTCAAAGCATCATATTGACCAGTGCATAGTCTGGTGGGACCCCATCACAACCCAGCCTTTAGGCTTCTTTGGATTTACAAGACTTGCTCAGGATGTTGCAAATTAAGCATAAGCTTCATCAGAGATGTACAATAAATCAGTTTTCCCTGATCCACATCCTTGAATACTAAGTGGCTGCAGATACACTCTGTTCTCTGTCCTGATCTGATTTATGTTTTCTAACTTAATACACCTGCGGAGTGCACACCTCACTCTAGATGAAAATGAAAACTGTTATAAAAATGCCACTACAATGCCGTGAAAATAAATTCTTTCCAGACCTAGCATCACGTTACACTTTGACTCTTTCACTCTAGATGTCACTGTCCTTGGTGTCTTGTTATAAACTTGTTGTTTAATTAACTTGGCACTTGATTATGTGCTTGTGGGCCACGGCTATTGTTTCAGTACATAATGTGATTCAGAACCACGGGTCCTGTAATTGGATTTCTTTTCCCGAGGCATTATAGATGTCTCTTGCACATGTCACTTTTCCACAGAAGTGACATAGTATGGGTAATTGATTTTCATTTCCAGAGGTGGCTCTAAGCCCTGATGGCGTAAAAGGAAATATTAAAGCTGGAGATACTTGTAACAACGTGATTCAATCTGGCTGCAGGCTCAACTCCTGTTCAGAGTGTGTAGACACACACGCAGAGAAAGATGGTTCTCTCCATCGCACAGTGGAATGCAGCGCTGAGCCTCGTGGTGATGGTCATTACTTTTCCCCCTGAGGGTGCAGAGCGTTAAAGCCCACAGCTTCTTTTTTGTTGCACACTTCACATACTAGCTGCACCACACACACTCGTATATATGTACTGGAAGGTTTTAGTGGTGGAGGTGTGAACTGACAGGTGTGCCTGCATAAATATCTTCCAGTCTCTATCTCACTTCAAAGACACACATGTGAGCCTCCAACATGGCTAGAGATAAGTCTTGGCACCAGAATTTAAAACCACTGCAGCTTCAGGCTGCTTCTCTCTGATAAATTCTCAGTGTATGGGAGAGGATGTCTGTCCAGTCACTGGTGCACCATGTGTTCTGCTAAAGACACAATACTGACCTTTTTTCTGAGACATAATCCCACATAGGTCCCATTTAAATTCACTATATCCAGATTTTTATTTTAATCTGCACCAATTTACACACTCTTAAATATCAGTCCCCTTAATATGCCTGGTGTTTTTCAATATGATCCATAAATGGAACTGCTCCAAAGTTTAATGGGTTCTTCCTTTGGTCATGCCCCACCCCTCCACAAAATTCTGCTGAAATCAAAGGAGCAGTTTTTACATAATCCTGGTAACAAACACACACAAAAACGCAGATGAAAATAGAATGGCACTCAAGACCCAAAAGTTGCCAAATCAAATTACACACACTCGTACACATCTGTCCCCTAATGGTTTTAATTTCATTATTGACTCAAATTTTGAGAAAAGGGCAAATATCTTGCAATGGTATGAAAGTGGGAGAAAACATTTCCTGGCTCTTATCCGTATCCACACCAAAATTAGATGGGTTCGTCTGTGGCCGTACTGCATCCTTCCACCAACTTTTGATGTAATCCCTATCCTAGATTTCTACCTAATCTTGCCAACTAACTGACAAACAAAACAACAAAAAAATGGACACATGAAAACAAGGTAACTGGGACCAGATGACTCGTAACATTTCAAAATGTGTGGGATTTAACTACACACTTCATGTAATGCTGGTCATGTGTTTTTCCTTGTAGTGTTGTGACCTTGTGGGCGTCTGATAATGCAAACTGGTGGGAAAACACTGGAATAAATAATATTAGCAGGAGGGCTAATCTATACCGTTCCCAATATTTATATCTCTCTGTCCTTTCAGCCCTTGGAACGTGGTCTTGTGACAACAGTAAGATAAACATTTATAATGGAATAAATAAAAACATAATCGTCTATCCCTAATGTTTGAAGTTGCAGGGAGATATCAGTCCGTGTGTGTGTCTATGTGATCGGAGCGTTTGTGTGTGTTCAGTGCTGTTAGATTACCTGCTCCAGTCTGTCCTGCAGCTCTTTGATACAGTCATGGCTATCCCTCATTACTCCACACTTTACCAACCTGGCTCTGCAGATAAGAGGGCAACAACACCTGTCCTCTGTTTCTGTAACAGTTACACCTCAAAGAGAAATCTCACAACAACTCTTACAGATAATTCACAGAAAACTTTTTACCCGCTATCTTTTTCTTTTGCTCTGTTTTCTTGTTTTGTGTTTGTTTTTACCAAGGTTTCTCAGCTGTGATCTTTTTTTCAAATCATTCAAGCCTAATGGTACTTTTTGTAATCTCAAGAAGTGATGTTTCTTATCATTATATATGGGCTATTTTCAATAATTTGTCCACTCTCTTTGAGATTGCAGATAGCTGGAGGCTTGTTTTTTTATGATGATCGTGATAAGGTGTTCTGATACTGTAACTGATAAACATTTATTCAGCCCAAAGTTGGTTTAAATCCCTTTCAGGGAGTGTGTTGTGGAAGATTGCACTTTGTGTCGGTGGGTCAAGACAGATATAAAACCCCTAAAACAGTAAGTCAGCATATTAGGGCAGAAACAAAGCAAACATTTTTTTTGTCAAAGATTTAACCATGATAAAATCCAAATCTCTTTTGGGGTCTCTGGTGATTTAGTTTTCCAGTCCTTAATTTGATCACAAAACAATATCAAACAAAACTGCCTACTTGTCAGAAATGTGTCTGGTTCCCAGCAAAACTGCCCCCTTGCATATTTTCGGCAACAACAGATTTCCTTAGAATGTGATATTCTATGAATATATTCGTTTTTCATACAGGCAGCTCTGGGTCAGATCAAACTGTGAAAACTGAGCTGGCACACTCATGCAGGAAGATTCATAGCAGACTTAGATGACTGAAGCCAAAGATTTTGGGGGTTGCTGTAATGTCTGGATTGTTCAGATGTGGACGATTGACACGAGGAGAATTTCTATAATGTTTGGAAACATTTAATACAACCTCAGAGTATGGTCAAAACATATTTGAGTGCAAAACAAACATTGTGAAAGCCATTCTGTCATTTACTTTGCCACAGGAATCAAATGTTCTTTGGAAGATCGGTGATTATACATTCGTGTACGTGTGACTGGGCCCTCAGTTAATAATGACCCCAAATATAACTAGCATGGCATTCAGTAGAGCACACCTCCAGCAAGGCCTAACACTTCCCTCAAACTCAATCAAGCTACACCAAGATGCATGAATTATTTTGCGGTGAAAATGTAAAAAAAAGTCCCAAATGTCCTATCTGGACATTTTAAAGAAATTCACAAATTTCCTGAATGCGGAAGGAAAACTCCTCCTTGGCGGAAGTCATTCACATCGGTGCATATTCTTCCTGAAAGAATGTTTTTCATGCCCATATTATATGTAATATTACTGTTTTTTTGTGTGTCCCAGTTGTTGTCGTTGGGAAAAATCAGCCAGGCAAAAGCAGCAAGACTGAAATCCATCTACAGACGTCTGAATAACTCTCTGAAGAGGTAGGTTTCTCTCTCTTCCTTCATGAAACAGGTTTGTGCTTGTTTGACTGCAGAGAAGCTGAAAGTACAACACATCCGACCCGACTGAAGCGTCCTTGAAAAATACTTAAAAACCTCCTTTTCACACCTAATTTCGCTCCTCTTATGTACTGCTGTAAAAAGTCGGTAGCATCTGTGATACAAGTCGCCAGCTTCTGAAAGGACATTTTAAAGCTTACATTACTCCTCGCTCAGTTCGCAGAACCAAAATTAAAATAATAATTTGAACAAAAAAGTTGGATTTGAGCATGTAGCTGAGGCAGTACGATCAAGGTACACCCACCATGAATGGCTGTAATAGACTGAGGTAGCTGTCTGAGACATGCCCTGAAGCACATTTTCTTTTAAAGCTTTATTAAATCCATGAACAATGATTCTCATAATCCCCATCAAGGCACATAATGGAGGGTATTAAATTAACTTTTGAGACCCCAGTTTCCTGTGAAGACAAGGGGAAAAAATCTTAATGTGCATATTATATTAAATCAGCTCAG